AATTTGGAGAGGCCACTGGTGTGGTCATTTCTACGTACATTTACATCAACAACAAAAAAACACGTGATGATCGGAAATGACCAAATCGAATTTCGAACTAAATAGTTGGTAAATAGCTACACCAGTGTAGATATCACAATCAATACGTTCTGAGTAGTCGCCACAGTTCCAAGCTTTCATAACATTTTACTTATTTCCAATTCTCGCGCTTCCTTATCCTCATCCTCATCCATGATGAGATGTTCTGCAAGCGACGATGGAATATGGTCTTCTATCCACCGCAAGTCATCCTGAAGGAAACTCATAGCATAGAAAAGCTCTGTAACTACAGGAGAAAAAATATTCAACAAAAATTGCTCTAATGGTCCCTTAACACGTTGGCGACAACGCGCGCTTTTGGTTTTTGCGCCGCGTGGGACCACGGCGATCTTGCAGGCTCCGCCGTCTCACGTCAATTCTGTGAATTTTGAGCTTTAAATACCCAAAACTCGGATGCAACAAGATGTATAGAATGATATTCGATGTGTCAAACTTATCAGAAGGGACAACTGTAAAAAAATCGATCGAATTGACGTTTTCTGGCGATGAAAGGCAAGTTTCAGTTGCTTTTGCTGCAGTGAACCTCAAAATTATTTTTGACGCGGTTGCTCCACTAAAAACATATGTCTTGCTATATGTGTGGGTCTGTACTTACTTCTACTGCTCTTTTTTATGACCAAGATCAGAATATAAAGGAAACTAGGAATGAACACAATTGGGAAATTCGTAGGGCTTAGAAAACCTTCGCTAAAAAGGAGCATATTCAACCATTCAATGAACCTCGCCGTGTCTAGTCATATTATGGTGTAGTCTATGGAATAGATGCAAAAAATTAGAAAAGAAGTATGCGCATGCGCGAAAAAAATAAATATTTTGTGTGTGCGGTCCCACACGTGTGATGCGATGCGCTGCACAATATCTCAACGTCGTACTATCGTGTACGCTATACGAATTATATGTGTAGGTCTGTACTTACTTCTACTGCTCTTTTTTATGACCAAGATTATCAGAATATAAAGGAAACTAGGAATGAACACAATTGGGAAATTCGTAGGGCTTAGAAAACCTTCGCTAAAAAAGGAGCATATTCAACCATTCAATGAACCTCGCCGTGTCTAGTCATATTATGGTGTAGTCTATGGAATAGATGCAAAAAAATTAGAAGTAGCGCATGCGCGAAAAAAATAAATATTTTGTGTGTGCGGTCCCACACGTGTGATGCGCATGCGCTGCACAATGTCGTCAACGTGTTAATTAGTTTTAGACCCAGAAAAATCATGACGATGAAACATGACAATTAAAATTCCCGTTCTAATTACATATGATTACAGCTAGGCAAGCGTTGCCGGAATGTCAAGTCATTACTGAGTCACCACAGGAATATTTCGAGGGCCGCGGCTCCTCTTTAGCAGCCATATCAACGAACACGGCAATTGCATTCATATTCACAATTCCGGAAGCATAATGACAGCAATTACCTGAAGTTTATGATCCTCACGTTCCTTCTCCTTTTGACGACGGACATCAGCACCATTCCCAGAGTCACGCTGTTTGAGCATTTCAAAACCAGGAGCGGATGCATTGAAGATCTCATCTAGAATGAGAATGTTGTCGTAATTCTCAAACAATTTTCAGTAGTTACTTGTGATAGGGTAACCAACCTTGGTCGTTCTCATCTTCGCTGTCATCTAGAAGAGGGGTGAATGCGTAACGCTGATTGTTCACCGATGGACGCCATAGAATCACAATTACAACGAGTATAAAGCAGAACAGTACGTGCCAAAACGCGGTGTCTACCCACCTGAAATAAAACAGAATATGATGAAATATATTTAAAACACCTTTGCGAACAGCTGTTGCTATGATGTACGGAAAGTTGTCTAACAGCAGGCTTCAATTATTTTTGATGATTCATTCTGTTATACATCCAATTTCCCTTACAGTTGCTTTACACCATTAAAAATTTTATTGAGAAGAAAGGAAAACCCCTTCCGCATTAAGTCCTGGCGTCCCCTACACGCGACAAGTCAGAACATCAGCATCTATTTGAGATCTTGCGATGAAATGAGATCTAGGGTAAGATAATCGACAACCGGCAAAAGGAAAAGTGCTCAAAAAAACATTGGACCACCTCTTTTCATTCGACTGATATTACTACGAAGCAAGCTAACGTTCCCTCCCATTCAGTGAACAGAATAACCGAAATTATGGCCATTTTTATATCTTCTTTTTTCGCGATAACAACATGAAATTATTCGAGATAAACCAGATACTAAAAGCATTCTGTGCTACCGATGGTTCTTTTCCGTCGAAAGGTCAGCATAAAGAATAATAATAAAGGATAAAGCATTTGCCGTTGATCAATCCCTTTTGGGATGCGGCACGCATTCTACTTCCATTTGTACATTCGTAGTGGCGTTTGAATGCGATGTGGCCTATACAATGACTTGCGGGGGCCAGCCGATGTACAAGTCAGTGTTTTTATCCTCCCAGACAAGTCTGGTACCAATTAACCGACCCCGGAGGGATGGAAGGCTTGGTTGGCCCGGGCGACTCACCAGGATTTGATCCCCGGACCGCTCGCGTGGTAAGCGTGCCACTTGCCACTACACCACTTCCGCCCTGTCAGTACATGCCGTCATAAAAATTACGTCGTAGCCTATAAAGCTCTATCAATCAAGTTCAAAGGACGCAGAAGCAAGTATGGCAAGTTGCTAGCTCACGATCAAATCGGTGCGGTGTTTCCGCTCAATCATAAAGGTAGAGGTACGAAGTGGACCGCTAGTGACTCGAAAACGAAGATAAATCTCGCAAACACTTATAGTAAGGATTTACTCATTTTCGGCTGTCGTAGACTCTACGAGACAGATTTCAAAGGACATTCTGACAGAGCGCACCAGAAAGAAACAAAATTGGAAACAAGCGATCACCACGGACGAGGAATACGCAGACGGACGGGAAGCTCACGTTTTCGGGCAGCGGTAGCAGTTTTTTCGCGGGCAAAGCCTCTAGAGCATTTGCTGCGCACTGTCGCACCGAAGAGATGTGATATCTGCTCACTTCTTGGACGGCTCTGTTTTACCTACCGAAAAGATGGTTCCACCTGGGGCCGTATCCTATCCTCCCACCAGGCTTCAGCCGAAACCTTGAAAATTTCTTTGTCCTCCCAACAAAAAATCGCTCTGAGAATGTGCATATTTGTAATGTGTATATGTGGGCGTGAAGCAAAAGCATGAGTGGAAAGTGAAGGGACTAGGTTTCCGAACACAAATAAGTTGAAAGGACGCTTTTGCTCCCCTAACTGTGGGAAGGACAAAGCTTGGAACGTCAGATTAATTGTTAAAACGCGAATGTATTCACATGTTCTGCAGGGGGGGGGGAGAGCTTTTATGCAAATGTCCCCGAAATCCAATTATTAGACACTATTCTATTGTTGGAACAGTTTGTAAATAGGTTGAGATAACAAAGAAGCAATTTCAAAATTCCCCATTTCTATTCATCATGGCGGCATGCCTATAACACGAAAAACAAGATAACCAAAGTTATACCAACCGAGAGATACCAACCGCACAATTACCAAAGTGGTACATTTACAGAGGTATCATTTCTTATCAAATTATACTTCGATATAGTTTGGGATGAATCCCTTATCAGGGAATTGAACTCCCTGGTTAATAGTGCTGCGTTTCAGATTTGCACCCACCCCTTGAAATGCCTCAGCTTCGAACGAGTAGGAAAAGCTTGAAGATGGAAAACATGTAACCAGGAACTACAATCTTGAAAAAAAAACGTTGGGAAAGGGCTTTTAAAAACACCAACGAACAGTTCTTTCCAGTCCTTGAGACACGTTGGGAAGATATGATACACCAGACTCCACATCATGAAGATTACAGAGGCGATAGCTGCGAATACAAGAGTGTTCATGAAGTGGCGATAAACGGTGAGTTTCACCTAAAAATTGAACGAACATGTTTGTGAAGAAGGGAACAGAAGAAACTTCCAATATTCCAGGAATTCCAAACTGTTTCGCAAAATTTGATAACATGACAGAAATGAATCGGAGCATTAGCATTATTACATACCTCATTTCTTCTTAGTTTCAGTGTTCGCATAGTTGAACCCAGTGAAGTGAAGATCCAATAGAAAATCACCATCTCTGTTATAACCAACGGAAGTGCGGCAAACTGCTTCTGTTTTGCAGCTTCAACATGGTTCTGTAACGGAAAAAATAAAATCGCTTTTGTAGGCTCACTAGAAAAGTGGAGTGGGTAATTTAATCACAATCCTGTTTCCAATACTTCAAAGCAATCAGGTCGAGGTAGGATAAATACATACATGAATGGAACACTGATTTCACATGAACCAAAAAAACCTACCTTAGAAACTCGCGCAAGTCCTTCAATGGCGCAAAACACGAAATATACCAATCCTACTCCAGCAACCTGAAATTTGGGGACGCAGTTTTAAATAGTACTTTTCTGGTAATAGTCACTAAAGAGCCAAAACCGTAAACTTGACGCTTAACATTCGAAAAGATGTTTGTTCTGCACTGGTCCAACCAGCTTCATTTGAATGGTTTTCATGGTTTGGATTGAATGTCTATCATTTGAAAAGCTCAGAAATCTTAAAGAAATGACTTTTAAAAATCACCTGACTGAGGGTATTTCCAAGGCGAGGTTTCACAACACCGTATCCAACTGAGACAATGATAACAAGAACACGAGACATCGTTCGCTTCGCACACGAGACCAATTCGGCGAGCTAAACTTCTTTTATATAGAATCGCTAGAAAAAAACAATAACGACAAGCGGTTACGATAGACCTAATTCTTTTCAATTCAAAAGCCTATAGAAAAATAAGGGTCACCCAACCTCTAATACGCCTTCTACGCTTCTACCACTATTGTTCATCGTTGAGTATTCGGCTAAGAAAAACGCTTTCTCGATCATTCCAAGTATTATTACTGCTCCTTAACATTCAAACAAATTTTAATGACCACCAGAATGCAACTAATCGATAGCCATTTTCAATCACATACCGATCCAATATTGAATTCGTAGGATATCCTTGTAGTATTTTATACAAAGAACCATCCATACGAAAGCGAGTATGGCATAGAAAACGCACATTAGTACATAAAATCTAAATAGAAAGCACCAATTAGGAATGTTTCAGCGTACAATTAATCTTATTTCTGATACCATGGATACCGCAAGACTTACTGATAGCTATTTACCCAGTGGATTTACGTATTGACTAGTTTCTTTACTTACAACCCAGGCCAGATCTTAGCTATTGTGAGCGACTCAACAAGAACCTGCCATATCTTTACAAGGGTTAGATAACAATCAATCTGATAATCGAATCACAAACATTTTTTGGCAGCAGAGAGTACCAAGGGAATCTACGGGTCCGTAACCCCCCTATGAGTTCGAAAAATGGCGAAAGCTGTCTTTAGGTCATAAGCAACAGCAAAGAGCAAATATAATAAACATCAGTTGCTCTTCGGCAACACTTTCTCTAAACTATCAGTGATGTAACAGGAAGATTATGAAAACAATAGTAAAAGTGAACATAAAAAGAGAGAAATGGAATGATGAAGGTTATATAAGTGAAAGTACAAAACAAGACCGTAGTTCTGACAGGCGAATGCTAAGAGCAAATCTTGCCTAACCACGGTGAGCCAATGCCTTTCTCTTGTGTATAAGGAGATTACCTGAGCAAAGGGTAGTCGATAGCACTGAGGAATCCATGTGGTTGCTTCCACTTCACTGTGATGGTAATGTTGTGCTCATCTGTGCTGGAGGAAGATGGTGGATAACGGAGGCCAATTACCTACACGAATATGTCACAAAAATGTTCCACAACTAATACTGTAATGAGCAATGGCGCACCTTCATTACCAGGAAATATATACCATCGGCGGGGACGGTTTGCGCGGGAGTCCAAGAGCTACAATCGAATTAATACTATATTTTCAGCGAAGACTGATTCACAAGAGTAACTCACGACAAAGAGGGACCAAGGTTGTTAACTGCACTTCTCTTATAACGAATCGGAACCTGAAGTAGAAGGTAATTGGTGATAATTATAGAACGAAAAAGCCTTCCACTAACCAATCCTGTGACATTCTGAACAGTCATCGGATGAGGATCAGGTTCGGAAAAAATTATGGAACCATGAGAACCCTTAATTTATACATATAAACTCGCGATGAATTGCAAAAGCCAATGTGGCATAATTCAAGTGATGTAGCACCGTATGGTGAATATTACACAAATCAATTATGTGATTAAAACATCGAGTAATTATTGAAAAACATATTTGTGCCTGAACACTTACAATGAACGGTCATGGCACCAAATAACGAAAATTAGCCACTGTAATCTTACCTTGCAGGAGAAGTTAAGAGCTTTTGATTTGTAGTAAACAATTTTCTCGTAATCGTAGTTATCCGGGATGTGGTTCGAATCATCGAAGTAGAACGACTAAACAATTGATCTCGAATGCAATTTTGGTAATATGTGGAAGGATCACGATACAAGATGATAAATCAAAAAGAATTTTCATTAGAAGGGCAAGTGATATCTTACCAGCAGTTTCTTCAGATTTTCAAGCCCTTTTCGCGTCGAAAAATTCTTTGTCACATGGCGAAGATCGAAGAGCATACTGGACCTGAAGTTGCTCCATTATGTGCTGTACGAAGGAAACGCAATGCGCAAAGTGAAAAAGAATAAAACAAAAGCTTAGCAACTGACTTGGAAGTCCATATCCTCGTTCTCATTCACACATGCAAGCCGTATTTCGATTTGCGTCTGGTTCAAAGCGGATTGTGCAAAGCCAATCATCTGGTACTGAAATTCAAAAACAAATCGCCAAACCCGAGAGGAGAAAACTTTTTCAAACGCTCATATCCCAACAGGCTATGCAAGAAATGCAGAATCAAGGGCGGTGCGAAAACTTATCCCAGGGAAAATGATGAGGAATTTCATACTCGATGAGCTAATGAGTAAGTACTCTACCGTAAACTGCAAAATACATATCCCTATACGTCTACAGAGTGGCGAAAAATTAGTGCGCTGTTAAAAATGCCAATTGTACTTATTAAACATAAAAACTGTAATTTTAGCGCAATAAATCAAGAATTTTATAATTTGCGAAGATTTTTGAAATGATTGCCCTACAGATTCGACACAGACGCCAACTCTACATTTTAAGGAACCTATGCGGCGTATATGTCGTCCACATTGTTACAAATTTTGGTTAGTTCTTACAGTCATCAAATTTTTATGTTCGTTACTCTACGATAATGTTGTCTTCGTAAGGCTCCCCCCCCCCGGGCGAATAAAATGCTCTTAACATTGCTCAAAACGATGGAACGCGCACATATTTTTTTGCCATCCTGCGCCTGCCGCACTTTTTATACCAGAAGAAAAACGTCAGATATTAAAACGAGACTTCATTGTCCAGTGTACAAGCAGTTCGCCGATTCCAGAAAATATTTGAAAAAGTTTGAAAGTGAAAGCCGCAGAGGCGAGGGGTATTCCTAAATTGTAGGTAACCGACGGTAATAGTGGTGTTCGCAGCTATGGAAAAAAGAAAAAAGATACAGTCATGCACTGGTCGTGGTAATGACCCTCTCAGATACTTTTTCGCAGGTGTCGGACGTTGCAATTGCTAGCGTGTCGCGCGGTTCGCTAGCGATTAGCCGCATAGTCTGGCACCTGCCTTGGTCTTGTTTATGTCCTTCGAAAAGATTCATAAGTCATAAGGTCATAAGACTGAACAGGCAGCTGATGGGAACTAAGAATTAAGGCTGCGGTTGAGCCATTCAAATGCTTGCATTTTGTTAGCACATTGAGTGTGGAATTGATACGTATCGATCATGTAATCTTGCGCCTGCACCATCGTTACGTGTATACTCGAATAAAAGAGGCAATACCGCAAAATCAGCGCGGACGAAGACTGACATAGTGAAACTATTTCTTACACCAATAAATCACGTTCACCGAATGATTACCGGTTGCACCTTTTCGCATATTGACATTATTTAACAATAGTGGGGAAACAAGGTGGACCAGTTCTTTATCGTAAACGGAAAAAAGCGACAAATAAACGCCGCCTAGGGGGTGTCTCAACGGTGTTAAGGTGCGATATTGGAAGGTGGCTGGTAAAAGGTACAAAAAGGGTTGAAAAGGAGCAACCGAACATCTCCCCTCCAAATGCAGCTATCAAAAACCGAAAAGAACAAGAGAAGAAAAAGTAGCTTACATTTTTTGGTCGAAGAGAAACCGTTTCCGTGAGAATCCCAGCACTCAGTAGATTTCCACACACCAACGACATGGATGCGAGTAACAAAAAGAGTGGCGACATCGTTACCCTGAAATGGCGTCTCTTCATAAAACTGCAAAAACAACATCAATCACTTTACAAAAAGGCGCTGAATCATAATGGAGTCTCATCAAGAAAGGGTGGCATGGTATGTGACAGTTCATATCGCATTAGTATTTGACTTTTTGCAAGGACAGGCCTCCGGGGTGTACGTAAAAGCTAATGTGAAATGATTCATGCACCCCGGTGATTCATTCCCTTTGCAAAAATGGAAGTTTTTTTGGCCAGCAAGAACTGCCGCACCTTATATTCCCCCACTACTAGATGAACCCTTATGATGGATTAAGAAATAATAGTGAACAAACTCGTTTCCTAGTAAGCGTTCC